CTGCGCTCGTTTGGTTTTGAAGCTCTTGGGGCACTGCTGGCAGCTGAACGGCCTGAAGTTACTGTGGCTGCGCTGATGCCTCACCAGCTCGCCGTGTGTGAGGAACGTCTTCTCGCAGGTGGCACAAAGGTACGGCCTCTCGCCCGTGTGGATTCTTTCGTGGCGCGTGAGGCTGGCCAGCTGGGTGAAACTCTTCTCGCAGTAGGAGCACTGGAAGGGCCGCTGGCCGTTGTGAGTCAGCAGGTGCCTGTTGAGGATCTGGAGCTGCGTGAAGCTCTTCCCGCACTCGGTGCAGGGGTACGGACGCTCCCTGGTGTGGATCTGCTGGTGCTTGTTCAGGAGCCACACGTGCGTGAAGCTTTTCCCACACTCACATGCAAATGGCCGCTCGCCAGTGTGTTTCATCTGGTGTCTCTTGAGGTCCGACGCTCGGCTGTAGATCTTCTCACACAGGGAGCATTTGTACTGACGCCTCACCACGTGCCTCTGCCTGTGCCTCAGCCGCTCCAGGATGCTGCCGAAGCTCTCGTCACATTTCTGGCACTTGTACTGACCGCCCTCTTTCTCTGATGTCTCCTCTGCTATCACCACCTCTGTCGTTAAGTCGAGGGGAGGGTTGCAAGTCTGTCCGCAGGCAGTTCTTTCGAAATGCAGCTTGAGCAGCCCCATCTGTGTGAACCGTTTGCCACACTGGGAGCAGAGGAAGGGCCGTTCTCCGGTGTGAATGCGCTGATGTCGGGTCAGATCCCAGGAGTTCTTGAAGCCCTTCTTGCATTCCTCGCAGGTGTATGGACGCTCACCTGTGTGCGTCCGCTGGTGACGAGTCACGTCTGAAGCGCGTGTGAAGGTTTTGCCGCACTCCTGGCACATGTGAGGGTCAGGCCTGTCGTGGATGGGGAAAGGCTTTGGGAACTCGGGATGCTGGACCTTCTTCTTGTGGGCCTCAGTTGTCTCTGCCTCCTGGAGTTTGCTGTACTGCTCAGGGTGACTGTGCTCCATGTGCTGCAGCAGGAATGACTCCTGCATGTGGAAGAATGGACACTCAGAGCAGGCGAAGACCTGAGTGGACATCTCCACAGTGGTACCTGTGTCAAACAGAGAAAATATAAGGAGGTGTTTTTTGTGTTACCCAAATACGGCAAGTTTATTTACACTTTCACCCGCAACATTGATGGCTCATTTTTATAAAGAAAACACGCTTCATTTCATACTTCTGTTTCTTTTGGGAGACAACTCTAGGTTCCCGCAGGTTTCAACAGGTTCAGTTTAAGACTTTCTAAGACTATTATGAATGCAATTTAAGAACTATTTATGTCAGGATAATCAGGAAAAGCATCATTGGTTCAATGTTGGTTTTGTTTTGTAGTTGTTACAGCAATATAATTCAACTTTTTTCCCATAAATACATTTCAAAGTGAGACGGTCATACAATTTACCAGCAGGTGTAGTATTGACACATTTAACTCCAGTTTCATTCCTCATTTTTTAATGATGGAGTGTCCATTACAGGTAGCTGGTCAGTGTTTTTGAGACATTCATCACATTAATTTGCTTTTGCGGCACACTCGGCTGTTCTCATCAAAGGTACTCTCCACTAGAACTGACTACATTTTACTACAGTTTTCCTCAAACAGAAACATGACTTTGGCCACAGCCCGTAAGTAACAAATTAAGTCAGCGTTATTTTATTTTACAGAAAATTCAGCTCCTCACTTATCAGCCAATTAAAAGAAGAAGTATAGAGTGTTTGTTGCATGCACAATTAACATTGCTGTGCATGTATTTATTAACCACAGCAACCAGAATTCTTTCTAGTGGGCTCTGTAAAAAACAAACTGGACGTGGAAAAGATTGCTGCAAGTTTAATTATTTGAATCAATTTCCAGGTGTGTCTATGACTGGAAAACATCTTGTCAACTCTGTTCACATGAAATGACGGAGTTTGTGTTTTGTAGGGACTATCTGGTTTACCTTGTGCTCCAAGGTGCTCGAGGCATTTGTGGTGTTGCAGGAGAGACTTCAGGTCGTCGGGACTGGAGAGCGCTTCCAAGCAGTCCTTCAGCACGGAGGGGGCAGAGGTCAGCCATGAAACTGTCTGTTTATGGGAGAAAAAAAACTCAGGAATGCTGACCCAGCTTTGACTGAAGACTCAGCAAGAACAAAGTGCTCCTCCCCCTAAGTGATCATACAGTCGCTACAGACTGAAATGTGACTCACTCTTACATACATAACATTTCATCCACCATGACTCTTACTTATATTACTGCGACTCCTGAAAATGATAATTATCTGTACGTAAGAATGCCTACAGCCTGATGAATACTGAATGTTTAGGTAGATACAGATGTCTGATAACGATATATATATTATATGAGCCCACCCAGCCAATGACAACATCAATGATACTATGGTATTAATAGTATTTCGTATCATGATAGAAGCATTTAAAGTTATTGTATTAAAGCCTATTTGCTAAACACAGCACAATCAAAATCATAAAATGTTCTTTAATTCTTTTTAAAAATAGGACCTGTTTACGTTAAAACACTTAAAATCAGAAAGAGAAGAGTTGGGAGGAAAAAGATGAAATCATTTTAGTCCCACTGTTCCTCAAATACTTCCTTAAACATGATTCAACCAGCAGCTGCTGTAGTGTGATGTCATTTCCTACCTGACTGAGGTCTGGTACTGGCAGGAGTTTTTCCAGTTTAGACAGAAACTCCCACACAAGGAGCTGCATGTCTGTGTCATAGCTGAGACCATATTCTGTTGGAAAAACCTCCTGGGAAGTACAAAGGTAACAGTCACTCAAAAACCCAGCAGGTCCACAAAAACACTATCAGAATGCCAGGTTTGGTTACATGAAGCTGCCTTGCCTGGTAAAAATGCTCCCTCTCTGCTGGGTCTTTCAGCAGCGTTTGGATGAGCTCCACAAAAATGGCCTCTTCTGCGTCCACCTCTGCATCTCCACTCTGTAAGACACTATCGTTGTTACTGCTGGGACCATCTCCAAACAACACAAGCTCCATCTGACTGTAACTACAAGGCCCAACTCCACTGTGCTTGATATGTGAACACAGACTGCTCTCACTTACTCCTGCGTATCCCGCTGGGCGGATCCGTTCCAGGTGAGGCTGTATACACAGAATATTGGCTGTTTCCTCATTTCTGCACAGCTCAAGAATAATCTGAAGAGAAAGATGTGGAAAGAAGCAAGAGGTGTCTCTTCAGCAAGACACTGACTTAACTGCATCCATCAAACATGACATTATTGTACTATTAGTAACATTTTTTTAACTTGCTCTCCTATGAAACCCGCAGACTCACCTTCGCTCTTAGTCGAAGGAGCAGCTTGCCTCGTTGCTTTGGACTGAGCAGGTCTGGAACTGTCGCCGTGACCAGCATCACAAACTCGTCGACCTTTTCGTAATCGAGAACCTCTCTGCGCTGAGCCACCTGCCACATGGCTGCAGAGAGCAGCCGCAGAGGAGGGATCAGCAGCCTCAGCGATGACAACGGCAGGAAGATATCTGCACAAACACAAGTGGCTTCTGCTCACACGATAGTGCAACAGTTCTCAACCTTTTTGGTGTCCACAACCCCAAAACTGATACGCATCAGGCCACAGAAGATCTATATTTGATAAGATGTAGTCTCAGGGACCCCAATCTGATTACACTTAGTTATTCCATAACTGTCTATACTGTAAATGGGCAGAGCAACAGTGAAGAGTGTGAAACTTTTCTTATACATTCTCTCATTGGTCTAATTTCTAATCTATTAAATAATATTGAACTGAATATTCCCCATTTCTCTGGGGACCCCCTGGGGTCTTGAGAAAGACTGCTAGTGTACCATTGTTTTTTCTTTGTAAGTAACAAACACAGATAAGTGACAGAACCTGTGAGCATGTTTGCTGATAAAATAAACATGTCCTTGTACACAGGGTCTGGTGTGACTATTCAGGTTGAACGCCTACATTTCAATCTGTCTTAAATATTAATTAACTGAACGGTCATTGGTGAACCTCCTGTACCAGATGTTTACAGAACAACATGCTAATTACACAACCAACAGCATGGATAACCTGTTAGCAGAAAGCTGCTGTTGTAATGAAAAGCTTTAACTAACACAAAGACACACCTGTTCAGATATACTGTTGCCATAATAGCTGTGTCTGTGTCGAAAACTGCCTTGAGGATATAAAACAACTCTCCTCCCAGCAATGTTTTCTAGCCCCTTGCATTGCATGTTTTTTCCTACTTCACTAATAATATATCTAACTGTCTCAACACTGTACAGGCCATATATAATGTGCCGCACCAAGAAATCCCTCTCACACATCATGAGCCAACAACTCTTTTTACCACTGAGTTCATTTAGCCTACAGTAGTTAGCTAACTGGACATAATGTGGCTGACGAGAGACTGGTTTAAAGCCTTTCCTACTCACAAAGTAATCCTAAACCTTTTATTTACTCAATAACAATGCTGCAGTTCGTGCATACAGTAAATATGGCTTTATAATCCCATGTTTTGCTGTGTTTACATGAGGGAAGTTAGCTAGCTACAATCACTGCTGTTAGCTGGAGCTACGAGCTAACGCCCCTACAGCTAACAGTTAGCCGTTAGCTGCGACTAAATGATCAAACACTGAAATAAAACGGACCTGTGTTTTCAAGTTGATAAGAACTGCCAGTCGTTTCCATGATTTACACAGTGTAAAGTCACTTAACAAACTATCATCAGGTAGTTAGCTATTTGTTGTTAGCTCCCTACAGAGCGGAAACACGTGTAGTGAACGGTTTTCAAAATAAAAGTATTCTTCCATAGCACCAGCTGATTGGTTAAGGTTAAAGTGCAGGCTATTTTATGTTTTTAACTGTTTGTTACTAAAACATAGGTAATTTGTTTATCTTGTATGCAGTTGTTGTGTGTATTGTGTGTCTCTAAGCCTAATATTATACTGAATCTGGTTTTATATAATAATAGAGATCACTCTTTGGCAGTTAAGGAAACACTCTTTATTTGCAGTATTTTCCATGTGCAAACTTTCAGGAGTTTAGTGTGCTGGAATGATACTCCTCATCTCATTGTTCTTCATGGTGTGCAAGTCAAATCTTGTTTCTCTGCTGTCATCAAATCCCCCCGTCCACACACTGGATCATCAGATGGCTTAGGACAAAATCTTTTCCAGATGTGAGACTCTTCTCCCCAGGGTTTAGTTTTTTCAGCTTGTTTTGAGGATAACAATTTATCTTTGTTAAAAGTGATTAAATAATGAAAAACATTGAGCCGGTCTGCTCTACTGAGTAACATCGACAGTGATAACACTTGTTTCTTCATGGCTTTAAAGTACATTTTACAAGTCCTGATGACACAACTGCCACTTTTAAATAGAAACACAGTGTGAATTCATCCAAAGACAGTCCACAGCAACTGGTTGCAGGAGGAAGTTCTGTGGTTCATATCTGATATCAAAGCAGGATGTCACATGTATAAAGGTGCAGTTTCAGGGTCCAAGCAGTGGAAACTTGGGATGTGCTATCCAATAATGTGGCGACAAATTCAGTCAAAGCTGAGTCAGCACTCCTGACAGCAGGACAGGACCACCAGCACTCCATGTCTTCAGTCTCCAGAGTCCAGGGGCCGATCCTTTAACACAAGTGATCACATTTGAGACAAAAACCTACACCCTGAAGACAAAGGAAAACCAATCTGCAACAAGGCCACAGTAGGGCAGTTTACATGAAAATCCCCATGGCACACTGTATTAGAGCTAAAATCATTAGTTGATTAATGTGTTAATAAACTGTCTAGATAATAATCAAAACATTTCCAGGCAGCCATACCAAACATCTGCTTGTTCAGCTTTTCAAATATGACTATTTGCTGCTTTTATTTGTCTCACATGACAGCAAACGTAATGAGTTCACATAGTAATACACAGTGGTGACCTCTGCTGTAGAATATATCTACAGTTAATATTTGAACAGGCACATAAAGGACGACAGTAATTACAGGTTCAGTCGAAGCTTCTGGGCTTTAGTGAGTTTAGCTGAATCACAATTTTGTTGATGACACCTCGAAAAGTGAAATTTTAATTAGGAGTGTAGTTACAATTCTCTTTTCACAATAAGTTTAGGAGACTAGTTTAGCAACTTCCGCAGCCGCCCTCTCAGCTACCGACGTTCACGTTAACTAGAAACTTCTCCACTCCCACGCGCACGTACCTGTTTACGGGACTATGAAATACATGACGAGGAAGAAAACGATGTCAAAGACCACGAACGCCCAAAAGTCAAACCAGTAGGAGTGTTTCGGCAAAGACACCGAATCTCCTTTAGATTTAAACATTTTCTCGTTATCTCCGGTCTCCGTCACGGGAGTCGCTCCTGCTCCCATCTCTGCGTGCGGCTACCGCGAGCTCTCCGGAAGAGAAAACACAGCATGTCAAGTTGTCCTTCAAAATAAAATCCACCCGACGCTAGGGCACCATAATATTCATTTGTTTTGCTATAATTACTACCCCTTTATTTTCACTTTCTTTCATTAAATACAGGATTTTGGACACCATTTCAGTACATCCAATCTTTCTGTGATGATATATGTCTTTCATCACCACTTTTGATTCGTGTTTGTATTGTAAACACTAGATGTCAGAAAGACATCACCAAACATAACTTCGATGACATTTTGTGTTATCATAGGTGTAGTCGGTATCGTTTTTATGCAAGAAATTACGTTTTTAGAGAAAGAATACTAACACTGACAGGAGCATTTCTATTGCTCCAATAATTTCAGTGTCCTGTTATAAACATTTAAGACTTTATTTGTCATGTGTTGGCTTCTAAGTGGTTTTGGTATTATCTCAGTACATGTACACTGTAACATGTTGACACTCTTTTTATTCCCTTTTTGAAATAAAACATTTCTCTTTCAATAGATGCTCATATACTCCTGACTCAAGTTGAAATTTTGATGACTATCTTTACCTCTACTGTACTTGGCTATGTGTTAGAAAGCAATAGTATATTTACTTTTTGGCTACTCTACCTCTGATACTTTAAACTGGCCAAAACACATCACACAAACACAGTAAAGACAAAAGCTCAGCATGTTGTTTGCTCGTGTGACACCAAATACCATTTATTAGGGCTTTACAAAGACTACAAAATCCTCCAGATGAGTTAAATCACTGTCTCTGTCTATTTACATGATATGTTACATACAAATGTACAAAATATAAAACATTTAAGGACAAATGTTTCACCCAAAAAGAAGAAAACTTTCTCTCAAACCAGAGTAAATGCTATGGTTTTCAACTGAGATGTAACTGCAAAGTGTTAAGTGGGAAAAATTACCAGTTGATCATCAAGACTATGGTGTACACTGTTAACGGTGTCAAAGCTCTGCTAGCTCGGGAACTAACGGCCTATAACGGGAGTGTAGAATAGCTGAGAGGGTGAACTGTTGGGAGATCTACGCTCAGGTTTGATACATGGGTTAACCGTAGGTAGGTAGCAACCTGTTACCACAATAACTGCCCCCTTATCATGCAACTACACACCCTTGCAGACGCAAGGCTGGCCAGGTTAGGCCAGATACATGTGCGAACCATTAGAGGCTTGGCTGCTGAGACACCTGTGAAGCTGAACACAGATAGGATTGTAGAGGATAGGATTGTCCTGAGGTTGTGACAACATGACTTCTTGGTCTCTGATGGGCTTTGACTGACCAGTAGCACCTGTTGGTTGTTGGTAAATGTATACAGTACGGTGTCAGGTCAGCTTCGGTGCCTCGGACAGCCTAACGTGGCGGTAAGCTTGGGTTAAAATGTCCAGAGAGGAAGTGCTTCTAAGGAACAACAGGCATTCCTAAAGACGGAGGATCCAGAGAATATTATGGCAGGATGGGGTAATACCAGAAAAGTGCCTATTTTTTGTTGTGATTTTAGTGAATTAAAAAACAGTTTCTTACTGTACACCGTATGCCTCCTGCATAGGCAAAACATCCAATCACCACAAGACACACACCTGTTTCTGACAGCGTGTTGAGTTTTTGCATTTCTTTTTTTTTCTCTCTGTTTTTAAAGTACAATAATTTACTCAGCGGGTTAAGCATATTGTAACATCAACAGGGCAGAATGCATCTTTGATTCACTGTGCAAGACTTAAGTATTTACAACCCACCCCCACCTCAAAGTGTGCAAAACCAACCCACTCGTTAAACAAAGAGAGGACAATCAAAATTCAAAATGGCTTCCGTCCAATACACGCATACATAACGATAAAGGTCTCTTCTCAATGCTTCCCTATTAAAAAGCTTCAAAACATGCTCGTCAGGCTAGAAAACCCAAAACAGTTTGGTTGTGCTCCTGTCAGTTCAAGTGAGCCCAGCTCAGCTGGGCAAAAAACAACTAAAAAATACCCCACCCCTTTTTAAATGTTTTTACAATATTGGTCAGTTTTAAATTCAAATACAGCATCAACTCTTTTATACTTTAACTGTCAGAAACAAGAAGGGCGGTTTGGAGGAAGAGGGACAAAAAAACAAAAGAGGCTGTTTCTCCGACTACAAGCAGCTTCTTTGACGTAGCAGGAAGCAGATCATCATCCGACATCAACTTCTCTTCTTCTCACTATAGCCAATGGGAGCAGAGGACGCCTCCCAAACTTTTGCACATTTAAGGCAGTGAGAAAGCACCAATATCATTGTTCCCTTGCATTTTAAAATACTTTGGATTCTTTTTTGGTACCTCAAGGATCCCACATGGGTGCAGATTCTGAACAAGACTATCAAATGTCAGTTTGCACCATTCAATTGAATATTACTGATATTTTGTTGATTGATCAGTGTCATAGCTGTGATTCATATCTGTACAGCTTTCCTGTTACAGCAAACCCAACCTGCTTGTTTCTTTATGCAGGTTAACACAAATATCACAGGAATTCAGATATTTGCAGTTGACCATAAGCTAACCCCGCCCCCCCCTTAGTAACGGTTGCTACGCCTGTCAAGCTTTCCATTCTCACACCTGTGCAGTTCACAATAATAATGATAGCATGTTTACCACTCCAGATTCATAGTAAGGTAAGGCTATGTTAGAGTTAGCATTCTCACCAGTTAATGATCCATGTAGAAGACAGTATATATATAAAATCAACAAAGAGTAGGTTTTGGAAGTATTACTACTACTGCGGTTGGTTAGTGTATCACGCTAACGTTAGATGCTATTCAACTATTTCTTATACTTTTGCCGCAGTGCTTTTGGTTTTGGAAAGGCTAATAAAGACGCTAAGAAAGTCCAAACTCTTCAAAAGCTGACTGTATCTCGAACTACATCTCCATGCACACTGCTTTAACATGTGGGAAAATCCAAAGCTTGGCAGACGTACCGTGCTGAGCTGTTAATGATTGGACAGTTGCTGTTCAGCAGAGGGGTTTAGCGGACGGTCAGTTGATCGAGTTCTGTGATGACCCACAGAAGGCGCTGCCTGCTGTTTTCATGGTGCATTGTAAGCTTAAGGGGTGACAACAGGCTGTGGAGTGTGGAAGGCCAAGAACAACTTAATCGAAGTTTACAACTGTGGTCAGCTGTGCATTGTGGTGTAAAGTCTCTGTGGGTGTATGGTGGTGTGTGTGCACATTTGGCAGTAAATCAAAGGGAAACATTGGCACTTGTCCTTTTTTTCCTTCACAGTAGCAATGTGGCTGGATGACACACAGACAATGCGCTTTCGTTGTGCTTGTTGTTGGCATGCAGGGCAGCGAGGAGCGGCTTGGCAGTGCCTGACACTGAGGAGGCTCAGGGCAGGAGACCAGCACCACGCGGCTCAACTGACTGGGCAGGAGGACTGTGAGCCGTATGCGTGTGTTATGAAAATGGAATTGCTGTGATCCTGGCTGGGGTGTAGAGGCTTTGCAGATGTCTCAAGTCAACCACATCTGGTGCCGTCTTTATGTTCATAAAAGGCAAAGACACTCACATAAGGTGATATAGTGGTAAACTATGAGACGAAAAAGTGTCCCTCAGCCCGACACTCTACTCTAAAGTAGTAACTTGTGAGGAGCCGGTTCAGTTAAACAGCTGGTTGTGGACGTTATCAGACATTACTGAAGCACTAAATCTATCTGATGGATCGGATTCAGTTTGTGTTGTGACCTCCATTGTGACCACCAGAGGGCGGTACATCACAGGAAAACACTATTCTCCTCTTACTTGCCTCCCTTAGTAGGTGGGTTCAGAGAACAGGGTACCAGTGTGGTATAAATAGTGCCTTGCCCAAGGACACTTTGGCAGCCTGGAGTGTTGGTCACATGGGGCCTTGAACCAATTAAAGCCTCTGATCAAAGGACAGTGTCCTCCTGCTGCCTGTATTTAAGTGCATTTGTATGAGTGTGTGTGTGTGTGTGTCTGTGTGAGAAGCACCTCTGTAAACAAGGAAAGACATAAACAATAGAACCTGTCCCCCCCCCCCATTGTAAACATCTGAAGATATATCTGGGATTTAAAAAAGGAACGAAAAATCCAGTTTTGTCATGTCAAACTCTTGGCTTTCTCTTTTTTCTCGGACACTTTGGAGGATTGACACCCAAAGTCAAAATAATGGAGTGATCTGTGGCTCATCATGGAGTGAGCACAAATGTGATTTACTCCTTAAAGGTCATCTTCAGAGGAACTACTGTCCCTTATCAGACACGTCCCACCTACACATATATGAAAAGTTGTATTCTAAAATGTTATACATCCATTAAAAAATGACTAGCTGAGCTTCTTATTTACTGTGATTAAAATATAACGGATCCAACTTGTGTGATTGTTTATCGTTTTGACCACTGAGGACCAAGTTGGCTACTGCTCTTTAAAACATACAATAATTTGATTTAATATTGCACCATTGTTATGTAAAAATATGTGTTTTCTTTCAAATGGTTGGTATACCATTCTGGATAATAAAACTTTTCATATATCATATATCTGTGCACTATAGGGGTGTCTGCTAGCGACGGAGGCTCAAAGGCTCCCCTGGCGTTCTGAGGGGTTTGGCGTCTCCCAGCTCAGCTCTCGGGTCTCATAGTGCCGACTCCAGCGATGAGTCCAGCTGGTCGTCGTGGTGACTGGTGCTGTCGCTGTCGCAGCTCTGCGTGCTGGAGTAGTTAGCTGCCTCTTGCAGCCGTAGCAGCATGTTCATCTGAAAGCACAGCAAACAACCAAAGAGACGACTTAATAACTTTTAATGACACTAAATACACTTGAAGTTTGACCTGAACCAGGGTCAGAATAGTAGTTTGTTGCATTGTTGTATTTGGTTTGTTTAAATTAATTCTATACAATTACAAGGGATCCAGGGTAACAAAAGTCACATGACTCAAAAAGCAGCTTCTTTATTGGACAGAGTTTTGGTACCCTCCTCTCCGTGGTAGTAGGGATTTAAACAGACTACAATGAGTTTTTAACTGGTTATGAAACAGTCTCAACATAATACTAATGCCGTTATATGACCTACATAATTTATGCCACCAGGTAAAGGTAAAGCCGTT